ATATATATATAAAGCACACACACTCATATATAATGCACACACATGCATATATATATATATATATATATATATATATATATATATATATATATATATATGTGTGTGTGTGTGTGTGTGTGTTAGGTAAATAATCCAAAGTTCCTTAGTATTCTAGTTATTATTTTTTTTTTTTTAAAATAGTGCTCGATACAAAAGTAGAGCATAAATATAATTATTTATTTAAAAATATGATTCCAACTCGACATAGGACTTATGTCGCGAGTTGGAATCATATTTTTAAATAATTTTATATATATATATAATATATATATATATATATATATATATATATATATATATATGTGTGTGTGTGCGAGGGTTGCGGGAGTGTACTCAGTCCAAGCCAAAAAACTGTTGTTCGATTCTTTGTTTTGGAAAACTGGGCCGAAGCGAGATGTTTTCAACACAGATCATAATATAATATGGCGTAAATTTGGTTGAGGTTGAAGCTGGGTGTAACACTTTTATGTAATTATAAACGTTGATTTCATTTTTCAGGTACCTTGTGTAATTTTCACCCTTACACTGCCGAGAATCGTTTGAATCCATTTCTTTACATAAACAGACCCATCCACTTTAGTCTTGAAGCATCACCCTCATACACACACGCGTGCCCACGCATTTGGGGGCGAGACAGAAAGGGACTGAAATATGTGGGTGTTAACGCAAACACACAAAAACATTCAGAATTACTGCTTGGAATCATAAATAGATTTATCTTGACATTTATCTACATACTAATAATTCGTTGCCAAATTTACACTGTTAACTTAAGTTGGTTAAAAGCTATGGCGTTGGCAAAAGCAAAATTTAAGTCAGATGTAGACCTGTAAGATGGCAACTAAGTAATTCAGAATATTAACTGTGGCGGGCATAGAAATTCTGATTTTCCTTGTATTTCAGGTGTGATTTGGGGTCAACAATTAAGTTGGTCACAAGTATTTACCTCTTTCTATGGATTTCTGTCTCGCTGACTTCTGGTGAAGCAGATCATTTGTTTCGTTTCAGATTCTCAAAGAGTTTAGACAACCATGATTCCCTCTAAAAAAAAATAGTACTAGTAAAAAGCACCAATACTCTTCCTTACCAATAATCTTGGAGCCAACATGAAGGAATTTACTGAAATTGACCTCTTGTAATTTGCCATCGTTTACGCTTGAGATTGTCAGTGGTTTGGAGAATTAAAAAGCAGTAAACTTAATAGTTAAGAAATCTCCTCGGTTCAAAGCTAAGTTGATATTCGGGAAGGTTTCTACTGATAAATATATTGCTAGGATAGTGACAATATATTCCTTGTAAAAATAGTCTAATTTTTTTTTATAAGAAAATTGACTACTTTTGCAATTCCTTGTATTCTTTCCCTTTTTTAATATAAAAATGCTTTATTGAGGTGAAAGGGAATTTTTATTTCTAGGTGTAATGACTATTGAGACATCTTTAGAGCAAGAATACAATATTTGTGGTATTTTTTTAAAAATCAATTCGAACAATTTCTAATGGAATTTCCTCCTTGTCCCAGGAGATTTATTCGTAATTTGGAAATGTCGATCTATAAAATTAATGGAAAAAAACATATCTGCTATTTTTTAATATTTCCCTTAAATTTTTCATTTTTGGTAAATGACCCACGAACGTTCTTTGTTTAATTTTTTTTCTACTATTCAGATCGTGTTTGTTGTCTCCAAAAAGAATATGGACGTAAATTATCCATATCTCTTTCACATTTCTTAAGCTTCCAAGTCTTCTTTTATACGTTTTTCTTTTGATAGGTTTATATATCTAGATATGCGGTGTGCTTCTTTGCTAGTTTTCGTGTACCCTGTCGTCATGCGATGTTTGGCGTCATAAAGTTTTTGTTTTTATAAGCGTCGATTTGTCACGCAATCGCCAACGTGTTTTTCCTGGATCCCATTATTTTATCGCCCTTTCTTCCTTCTCATTCTCTTTCACTCTCTGTAACCCGACTTGCGTCTTGGTGGATTTATCGCCTTGCTTGGAGCGAAATGATTAAAAACAAAATAATTGGTCACAAAAAGTGAATTCAGTATAATTGGGAGGAAAAATTGCTCGACTAATTTCTAGGCTAAGATCCTGTTCATTTTTTAAAAGCTAAAATATCCCATAATTATAAATTTTATTGAAAATCTCGGAAATTACTCAGTAATGAAATCATTCTAAAAATATGCCTTTTCTAATTACGTTGAGTTATATATTATTGAATTAAGATATACATGTACACAGAAAAAAGCACATACACGCAGTTTGAATTAATTTTAAATAGAAATATCTGTCACCTGGACTAATTTTCCTTTCTGTTTAGCAACAACAAAACATTTTGGCGATTTGAAGTCATTTTTATGACTTCTCCGAAATGAATGTATTTTTTATTATAGAATAAACAAACAATTTGCATTTTATAATCTTGCAACTGGTATCGAATAACTACTTAGTACTATTTCTATATATTGAAAGCTAGAAAGTGAGCAACCTTCGGGTTGGCATGCTATATTATATCTCCCAGTTGTTTGTGTCATCGACCAGAAGACTAATATACACATGGGCCTGGGGATTACAAACATGTAGCTGCACCTTTTTCATTGCACCAAACTTCGGTTTCGGGGACCGTGCAATTCTTGCAATTATGTCAGGTGCTTGTGCTTAGACTCACTACTTTAAACCGGCCTTGTGTCACAACATGCTACCGTGCGTGGGGCGAGTTTCCTTGTTCGATTGAGCTAGCTAGACATAGATAGATAGATAGATAGATAGATAGATAGATAGATAGATAGATAGATAGATTATAAAAGACGGGCAACTTGCCAGATCCTGACTTTCTTAATATAATTTTTATAACTCCTCCTAGGTTTAAACTGAATATATTTTTTAACACATGTAGTATTTTAAAATGGTGAGCAATTGAGATTTGAAATTTTATAATCATGCCTTCAAGGAAGTGAGAGGTGCCGAACTAATATGTATTATTTTTACTATTGTTCATCCAGTACAAGGCCCAAGAGCCACTAAAGAGGAGTGTTACTAAATGAGCTTGTAAGTATTTACAAATGGATAGCAAGACGTCCATATTATGGAGATAGGTAGGTTGCGTTTAACACTGCAGTGGTCAGGGAAGCATACTCTCAGGAGTTTGTTCCACATTGAAATAGTGTGAGGAAGAAGCCGTCTGTGTGGAACTTCCTCATCACCAATGGAACACAATGTGCATGGACATAAGTATCTTTCATAGATTGACATGAATAAACTACCTTAACTAGATTGGTAGATAGGTCGAAATGTAACTAGCTAGTTAGAGATAGATAGATAGATAGATAGATAGATAGATAGATAGATAGATAGATAGATAGATAGATATGAAAAGAGAGAGGTTAGATAGATAGATAGATAGATAGATAGATAGATAGATAGATAGATAGATAGATAGATATGAAAAGAGAGAGGTTAGATAGATAGATAGATAGATAGATAGATATAGATAGATAGATAGATATGAAAAGATAGATTATATAGATAGATAGATAGATAGATAGATAGATAGATATGAAAAGAGAGAGGTTAGATAGATAGATAGATAGATAGATATGAAAATTGAGAGGATAGATAGATAGATAGATAGATAGATAGATAGATAGATAGATAGATAGATAGATATGAAGAGACCAAGGTTAGTTAGATAGACAGACAGATAGCTATGAAAAGACTGAGTTTATATAGATAGACAGATAGCTATGAACAGACCGAGTTTAGATAGATATGAACAGAGTATAGATAGATAGATAGATAGATAGATAGATAGATAGATAGTTATGAATACATGGAGTTGACAAAGATACATATGTACCGACCTAAATATATGAAAAACTTTCAGACATCTGAAATTAAATAGATAGAAAGAAAGAAAGAAAGAAAGAAAGAAAGAAAGAGTGACTCATTAAAAGACTTGCAAACATCTGAACATAGATAGGTAGATCTGAACAGACCGAGATTAAATCTAACGTGATTAACAATAACTCAGTAGATCGTGACAGAATTGTTTGTATATTGTTTGAATTCTTCATTATGTTAGACTTTCAAATTTTAATCAGGCTAACCTTTTCGTTTTGTTCTACATTTAGTTTTGTTTTAAGCAAAATTCAACACCAATCTGGAATCTTTTGTAAAACGATTGTGGGCTATTCAGGTTAATCTAAAACAATAATCTGAATATATTACGAAAACTGCTTAATCCTTTGAGAAAATAATCTTTTTTCGTTATTTTCTTCCGTTATAAAGGTTACTCATTCTATATTTTGGTAATATTTTCTTCAAATGGATTCAATTCTGCTTTTGCTTTTTCCAGTTCCATAAAAGTTTTCTCCTTTTCAATTATACTGTGATGTTGACATGGACATTTTCTACTGAAATTTTTCCTTTCGTTTTTTTTTAATGTTTTTCGTTTCGTTTTTTTTCATATTTAAGACTTTCGTTCTTTAATCAGTGAACTCGATTTCATCATTTCTCTGCTTGCTTTATTCATCTAATATTTTCTTTGTTCTCCTTTTTGTGTCAATGGTAATTTTTCATTCACGCGTTCTCTCGTGTTTAGCTTATTCTAAAATCCCTTATTATCTTTGACTTTTACGTTTTTAATTTATTATATTATTTTGGGATTTCATTACGTTTTCTTCAAATCGACAACACATTTATTTCTGTTTTTCTATGTTGCTTCTGTTTTTGTTTTTTTTCAATTTATTTTTCTTTATCCCTCTCGCTTCGTCTCTTTATATCTATTTTGAAAAAGAAAGCTGACGTAACCCTTACGTTTTCAGCTTTCACCAAACGGCTTCCCTGAAATCATCTCTACCTTAGTTGATGTCCTCTCACTTCTCGGTTCACATTGGAATATTTCTCTTGGCGAAATAAAAAAAAAAAAGAAAGGAAAAAAAGTCCACCCAGTCAACCTGTCAATGCAAAGCATCGAAAATCAAAATGGATACCGAAGCAACTTTTTTCTTTCCTTACTTTCGTCAAAACAGTTAAAATATGATCTATTGCTTTTTTTCCTAGGTGGAGAGAAGTTGTAAGAGACAGCTGTCACAAGAACCGAATTAGAGGCAGCCGGTGGCATCTCCTCGCCTAGTTTTCAGGGATTCTTACTTTCGATTGATGCTACAAATCGAACAGGTTAGACTCTCAGAAGCCAAGAAATAATCCCAGGTAACGTCAGCTTACATTCTGTCTTCTCTGCCATGATCTATTTTGCCTTTTTACTTGTTTTTTTTTTATTTTGGTTCAAATATAATTTATAGTATTATACTATTCCTTGTCACTCCCTTTCATTTTTTTCTTTATTATTTATTTTTGTGAGGTGTATTCTGCTAAGTTTTTCTTACTTTATTTTGTCATTGGTGATAAATGTTGCTTTCTTTTCGCTATTTCCTGTGTGCTGTTTTATTCTCTAGCCTCTTTTATAGATTTTTAAATATTTTATATTAAGTGCCATTTTGATTGTCTGTCTTCTTTGCTATTGTCTTTCATTTCTCTTTTTACTTTTCGTATTCTTTCCGACTTGCTTACCAGTCTCTCTCTCTCTCTCTTTCTCTCTCTCTTTCTCTCTCTTTTTCTCTCTCTTTCTCTTTCTCTCTCTCTCTCTCTTTCTCTCTCTCTTTCTCTCTCTCCCTCTTTCTCTCTCTCTCTTTCTCTTTCTCTCTCTCTCTTTCTTTCTTTGTTGCTCACTTGTTTTGTTTCTTGATTACTTTCTTGTTTTCTTAATGGCCTCCTTTCTAGGTTTTACTTTACGTCTTTCTATATTTGCTATGTTTTTTCCCGTATTTCTTCTTCGACTTCGTTTCGTTCTTTACTTCGATTTTACTCATTCTTTCTTGCTTTTTCTTTTTTTGCACTTTCCTTCGATTTCTTTCTTTATGTCTTCCTTTCTTTAAGTCTTCCTTTCTTTGTTTCTTCCTTTTGTTTCTTTGTTTCCGTCCTTTTTTCTTGCCTTCTTTTCTGTTATTCTTTCTTTCTTTGCTTTCACTCCTGATTTCTTGCTACCTTTCCCGTGTTTTCTTTTTCTCTGGATTTTTCTTTCTTGCCAGATTTCCTCACGTTCTTTCTTTATTTTTTCAAACTTTCTTTCATGTTTGCAGTGATTTCTTTTTTTTTCTTTCTTTTCATGATTATTTCCTTCTTTTCATGCAGTGATTCTTTGTTTCTTTCCTTTTTTTTCTTTCTTTCTTTTTTCTTTCTTTCATTTTGTTTTCTTTTTTTTTCTTTCACCCATTTTTCTTTCTTTCTTTCTTTTTCTTTCTTTCATTTTGTTTTCTTTTTTTTCCTTTCACCCATTTTTCTTTCTTTCTTTCTTTCCTTCTGGCGTGCTTTCATTCTCTAATCTCTGTCTTTCTCTTTATTACGTTTCTTCAATCCTTATTTTCTGTCTTGTTTACACTCTTTACCTTCTCCTTTTATTCTGCTATTATTGACGGTTGTGTAAGATCTCGGAACGTGCAAAGACGCAACGCTAAGTTTTTCAAAATTTTAAGTGAGAATTTTATTTAAATATTTCTTGTGATGTGTTAAATCCACGTATTCTATTTTTACAAGTGTATTCAGTTTTTATGTCATGAACTAAGTGTATAGATGTAGATAGTACACAACCGTCAATAATAGCAGATATTCAAAAAACATCTTTCGGTCGACATACAGATATATCGTCTTCAAGTTTTTGATTTCATAAGGAAAAAAACACATGCCTGATGATGAATAGAAGACTATTCGTAAGTACTAGCATTTTAACATCAAATAAAGTGAAAACTACAGACAACAAGTTTATCAACGAGGATCAACTCGCACTATGGATGAACAGTATTTTAATGCATATATTATGTTTTCTAGCGATGGATGTCGCCAATAATCGCATTAATACTTCTAATTGATTCTATGTGTGATTATTTCTTTGTATGTAAATTATATGCTGCCTAATGTTTTATGTTTATATACATATATATATAAATATATATACATATATATATATATATATATACATATATATAAAGAAATATAGTCTTAAGGCGTGCTATATTTATGGGATAAAGTGCACAATATCAGAGATAGAGCGTGTGTAAATATAAAAGTGAACATAGAAGTCAACACTTAGAGGCGACAGTCTGTTTCATGCTATATGCAATGGTCAGGCCACGTGTGCTGTTATTTTTCTCGGCTATTTATATATATACGGGTTAGTGGTGCATTGTGGGTATTCTATTATGGCGGTTATTTTTACCGGAAGTCGCTTTTGTTCATTTATTTGGGTCAAGTTATATTGCTCGTTTTTATTTATTTTTTATTTTATTTTATTTTATTTTATTTTATTTATTTATTTATTTATTTATTTTATTTTTTTGTTTCTTATTTTATTTATTTATTTATTAACGTAGTAAAAATTTTTTATATCACGTATTTAACAGTTTTGTTTTTGTTTGAGAATTTAATTAAAGCTATTTGTTCAATTTTGGGGTTGTTTGTTGTAGTTCATTCTAACTATTATTTTTTTGGGGGAACAGTTTTTTAATTTGGGATTGGTTTGCCTATTTATTTACTTGGATGAATTTAGGTCAATTTATTTTTATATTTTCTCTTTTGGTTTTCGGTTTTAAGCAACATAGTACTTTATTTATTTATTTTATTTATTTATTTTTTATTTATTTATTATTATTGTATTTGTTTTATTTTATTTTTTCCGTTTTTCATTATTTAGGTTACGTAGTAAAAATTTATTTTCATGCCTGCATTTTGAGATGAGCTCGGATCTTTTATTTAATAATCCTACACACAATAAATTACTCAAGAACAACATAACCAAAACATACAAAAAGGCACCCCAAAAAACAGAACACGATATCAATAAGGAAGCTAAAACAATCGCCCAAAATTAGACCTAGATGACCGAATAAATTGTATTAGCAAGGCACGAGCCTTTATCACACTAAAAGACCATAAAGAAAATTTCAAAACTAATCCTGCATGCAGACTCATAAACCCAGCCAAAAGCGAACTAGGTAAAATAAGTAAAACAATACTAGAAAGAATTAATTCTGAACTTAGGAAGAAATTAGGAGTAAACCAGTGGAAAAATACGAAAACAACTATTGACTGGTTCCACAACATAAATAACAAACAAAATTGCCAATTCCTACAATTAGACATAAAAGAATTTTACCCATCTATAACAGAACGTATGCTAGATAAGGCCATCGACTTAGCTCAGGAACAAATAATAATAAAACCAAGCAGAAATCAACATCATTACACACTCCCGTAAATCATTATTATTCCACAATGAAGAAGCATGGATAAAGAAAGATGGGATATTTGACACTACAATGGGAAGCTTTGACGGTGCAAGGCATGCGAAATCATAGGCATTTACTTACTACACGAACTGAGCAAAATAATAGATAAAAATGACACAGGACTCTACAGGGACGACGGCCTCATAATCTTAAGAAACTGTAACAAAACAAAACACAGACAAAACTAGAAAAGCAATAATAAAGATTTTTAAAAATAACGGATTCGACATAGATATAAAAACTAACCTAAACGAAGTAGATTTCCTAGATGTGACCTTCAACCTAAGAGAAGGCACATATAAACCATACAGAAAACCTAACGATAAACCACTCTACATACACACATCTTCCAACCATCCGCCTTCTATAATCAAACAGATACCAAAATCGATTAACCGCAGGCTCTCCGACAATTCCTCCAATGAATCCCTATTTAACAAAGCTAAAAAAGACTATGAAACGGCCCTAAAAGATAGCGGATTCCCAGCAATACTCACCACAGAATACAAAAAAGACCAACAGGAGAAGAAATATCATATGGTTCAACCCACCGTACAGCAAGAACGTAAAAACAAACGTAGGAAAAATATTCTTCAAACTCTTACACAAACACTTCCCAGAATCAAGCACCTTACACAAGATATTCAACAAAAATACAGTAAAAATCAGCTACAGCTGCACCGAGAGCATGGCACAAATAATAAAAAAGCACAATAGGAAAATTATCAACAAACCACACGAACAAATTAAACCCACGTGCAACTGCAGAATAAAGAACGAATGTCCCTTAAACGGAAATTGTCTACAAAACAACGTAATATACCAAGCCACGATAAAATCACCAGATAACGAAGAAAAAAGTACACATAGGAGTAACTGAAGGACCCTGGAAGCAAAGAAATTATACACACAAAACATCGTTCACAAATAGTAAATATGCGAACAGTACTATGCTTTCTAAGTATATCTGGGAAATAAAAACAAAACGCACATCACACCAAAAATATCTTGGAAGATAAGGAAAAATCATCAGCCTACAACAACCAATCAAAAACTTGTAAACTTTGCTTGGAGGAAAAAATAGCTATCATTACTTTCCCCCGACCAAAATAAATTATTAAATAAAAGATCCGAGCTCATCTCAAAATGCAGGCATGAAAATAAATTTTACTACGTAACCTAAAAAAATGAAAAACGGAAAAAATAAAATAAAAACAAATACAATAATAATAAAAAAATAAATAAATAAATAAATAAAATAAATAAATAAGTACCATGTTGCTTAAAAACCGAAAACCAAAAAGAGAAAATATAAAAATAAATTGACCTAAATTCATCCAAGTAAATAAATAGGCAAACCAATCCCAAATTAAAAAACTGTTCCCGCCAAAAAAATATAGTTAGAATGAACTACAACAACCAACCCCAAAATTGAACAAATAGCTTTAATTAAATTCTCAAACCAAAACAAAACTGTTAAATACGTGATATAAACAAAATTTTACTACGTTAATAAATAAATAAATAAAATAAGAAACAAAAAAAAAAATAAATAAATAAATAAAAAAATAAAATAAAAAAAAATAAATAAAAACGAGCAATATAACTTGACCCAAATAAATGAACAAAGCGACTTCCAAAAAAATAACCGCCATAATAGAATACCCACAATGCACCACTAACCCGTATATATAAATAGCCGAGAAAATAACAGCACACGTGGCTGACGATTGCATATAGCATGAAACAGACTGTCGCCTCTAAGTGTTGACTTTATTTCACTTTTATATTTATACATATATATATATACATATATATATATATATATATATATATATATATATATATATATACATATATATATATATATATATATATATATATATATATATATATATATATATATATATATATATATATATATATATATATCCTTAATAGATATGTAAATTTCATCTTGTTTTTCTTATATTTCGTACAATTTTTCACTCGGTTATCAAGTGTTTTCATTGTTTGAATTGGCACTTCAGGCAAACAGTATATTTTTTGATGGTAATCAAAAAAAGAAAATCATTTATCTCTATAGGAATAAACAGCAAATAATTTTCTAAACACAACACTGGGACTTGATTTCCTCATGTTTAAATGTCCAGCTTGCTTATATCTCTAACCGGCGCTTCCTTTATGTTCTATATACCATCATATCTTATCGTTGACAGAAGCACAATAAAACGTTTTTAAAAAATATTATGCCAACAAGGACAACCAATATCATCGAAATATTTTACTCATCTCTTATATTTTCCCATAAGTCTAAATTTTGTCTGTTCCTACCTTACATCAGTACAATCAAAAGATCCTGCCGCAATAGCGAATAAACAATCATATTTCTAACAATCTTTTAGATAAATTACTAACATATGTTTATAACATAAGATATAACTTCTCTTTACATAACAATTTTTTTTTAATTATTCAAATATTCCTTTTGTGTTATGTATTTTTAATTCAAATTAATCAGTATTTATGCTGATAGCTTTTGTAAATAAAACGTGTTTGTATCTGAAGATTATATATCCGGCTTGTATATTCTAGTCGTAAGTTTAAAAAAATATCGAGGTTTAAATTTAAAGGAAAAGGAAAATTAATATAACGCTAGTTTCTAATTAAAAGCTGCTGATATTCTAGGAACGGACACTTATTTTTGAAATAATCATTATTTTTATAAAATTCCCTAATTTTACACCCTACATGGTATTGCCGATCTTATTTTCTGCAGCCTGTGTCGTAGCCATTGCTGTCGTCTGCCATTTTACATTACTGGAAATTAGTCGAGCGAAACAGAAAAAATGTACTGAATCATCTAAATAATTAAAAAAATTGCTTAAATCTAGAATAAATTGTCTTAAAAATAGATGAACTATTAAACATTTTGAAAATAATAACTATTCTATTGTTATTATTAATATCAATACAAAATTATAAAATTATTCAAACGTTTCACTCACTGTCTAGTAATGTCTAGAGCAGGAAATTCAAA